CAGGGGTTTTTATTTGCTTTTTGTTTGGTTGTTTTTTTGAATATTTTTTTTACATAAGGCAACTATGAAGATGACCTTGAGCTCCTAATCTTTTTCCCTCCACCTTTGGAGTACCTGGCTTACAGGACTGTGCCATCATGCCCAGCCCAAGGAATGTCACAGTCGACATGGCTATTCTATATTCATTCACAGAAGAACAGCAAGGTACCACTATGTATAGAACATAAAAATAGAAAATGACTTTTCAGACTCAAATTTTATAGATCTAAGACACTCTTCTAAACTTTGAACTCTGCTTCTTGCCTGAGCATTTGAATGAGTTCCAAAATCTCAATACTGGAAAAGGAAAAACAGAGAAAAAGTTAAACTACCTTCACACTTTTTTTTTTAATATTCCCAAATAATACCTGCTAGATATTCCAATTATGTTAAGTTTCTGTACAGAAAAGCAAAATAGCAATGTGTTTAAAGATACATGGCCATAGTTTCTATCTTGTAAATGATAGTTTATTATTATTAAACATAGTGCGTGTTGTGTAAATATTTTAAAAGCAGCAGCCGGTCAAGCCGACTATCTATGCTGCGGTGACTCTGCCTAGCTCATCTGCCATGTTTCTCAGCTGGAGGCCACGTACCGCAGCTAGAAACAGCCAGCCAGAAACACCAGCCCTGCCACCCATGAGACATCAGCGTGGGAGATGGCTCTGCCAATCTTCCACGCTGTCTCTGCAAGGCTAGGCACTGCCCAGACCATCCCCCCAACAACAACAGCTAGATACAAATGAGACTCTGATGCTTAGATTATCCAAAGGCTTATATATTTGGTAATAATCAATTACAATATGCCCATACAAAGAGAGTAGTTTCCCAATTAGCTAACCTAAATAAAAGTTACCCGCAACGGTTCTCCATACCTGCGTGACTCTCCATCGCTCCTACATCTCTGCTCCCTCTAGCTCCTCCACTTCCTAGTTCCTCCTCTTCTCCTTACTCCTCCTCTTCCTCTCCTTACTCCTCCTACCTTAGCTCCTCCAACAAGTGTGCTCCCTCAGCATCTCTGTTCTTCAGGTGAAATTGGAAATTAGAATTAGATAACACAAATTATTGCAAAAAAATCTATTTGTTTTGTGGATGAAGACATTATTAAGAGTAATGTGTTTTATAAAAATTATTTTATTTTAGAAATGTACTAATTATTTGGGGAAAGATTAAAAATAAACCTTAAATTGCACCCAAAAATGTAAAGTCTTCCCATTCACTTCTTTATGAAAATGCTAACTTTTATTAGATGTTTACAAATAATCATACATTGTTCTTTTTCAAACTAGCATCTCATTATTTCATGTCATAATATTCTGGGTTGCACGACACATTGTAGTCTGTTTCAAAAAAAGCACAAAGATAAAAGGTCTTTAGTAAAAAAGGGAAGCTTTGACACAGCACAAGTAAATAATGCTGAGCTTCTTCTTTTAGGCACCCTCCCTTGTAGAATGTTCACAGTAAACCTTGTGAAGTGAACTGTCTTGACATCTACTATGATCTTTGCCAAACTGTGCTGCTGGCTTTTTAATTACTGCAGGCCCAGATCATTGCTGATTACAGGATTTTTAAATGTGGCACTTTGCTACCTGAAATACATGTGTGTTTTAGCTGTCACCAGAAATGTTAGTGGACACTGAACTATTTCACTTTGAATACCTGTCTATTCCCCTATAATATTAGAATGCCACTATAAATCTCAAAAATAATCACCCGATAGTTTTTTCAGAAGCAGACGGCTCCTATGATACAATCAACTTCACATTTTAATTATTATGATATTCAGAGTTTATTAGAAGAAATGAAAACTTCCAATGACATAAGCCCTAGTTTTGCATTTCAGCTTTCTAATTTAAAAATTATTTATAAGCTATTCACTACAAATGATTTTTTTTCTAAATCAATTTCAGTGTATATATAAATATATAAATGGAAATAATTATCCTTATTTTATAGTAAAGAATTTCTTATAACTCAAGATAAGTAAGATGAATGTTAGAGGAAACATCTGTGAATTACAAAGTACTACAAGTACTTATTAATATAAAAGTAACTACAAATTCTTGAGTCGAAATAGTAAGCCATGATTAATTACTTCATAAATACTAAAAGTGATTTCAATACTACACACACTAAACACTGAGCCAGGCAGTCGTGGCCCACATCTATATTCCCAGCACTTGGGAGGCAGAGGCAGGTGGATTTCTGAGTTCAAGGCCAGGCTGTTCTACAGAGTGAGTTCCAGGACAGCCAAGGCTACAAAGAGAAACCCTGTCTCGAAAAAACAAAAACAAAGCAAACAAAAAAACAGAGTAAACACTGATTATACTCAAATAAGAAGCAAACTATACATGTCTTTATTAAAGCATAGTAAAAACAAATTAATTTAACTTTTTTATACAACCCTGGTGTCATTTTTCCAGTTGTGTCTTGTTGTATAACATATTGAATTATTTGTAAGAATGTTTACCAAATACAGCATAATTCATTATACAGGACCAAAAAAGAAAGTCATGAGCACACAAAGTAACATTTTATTTTCTCCATTAAAAGTAGCAGCAATTAACCAATATAACCAAGCAAACCTAAACAAAGCTTGACAAATAACGGATGGTGTCTCTTTGACATTTACAAGAATATTTTCATGGTGGTTACCACCAGCAATCAAAAAACAGCTATCACAAGCTTCCTGTGTTTGTAAAAACAGCATTATGTGACGCACTTCCTTTTTCAATTTCCAGGTTGGAAATATGCCCATCTTTGCCGATTACATTACATCACTATGTTCTGTTCTACTATTTGCCTGAGCTTGAATCACTATTTGTTCTAGCATCTTTTAAAGGAAGCCCCTTTGTTAGCGACTGATGATCAGTCTGAAAATAAAAGAAGAAACAAGAAAAAATAAGTCCCTTGACTTCGTGCAGCTCTTTTCCATATGGTGATAATAGATGCCAACAGCTAGGGAATTTTCCAACTCTCCCTGAAGCTTTGTGGATTGAGTGAGGACCAAGCAATGAGATACTCTGGAAGCTTCAATTGGCAGCTGATTTTAGGACACAGTAAGTATGAATTAATCCTAAAATGTGTCTTATTGTATTTAAAATTATTACTCATTTTAAAAAATTGGAAATAGTTGGAGAGTGTTTGGAAAGAACCTGGATCTCTAAAACAAATAAGCTTCCGAAGGAAGCTCTGGAGCACACAAGAGCAACAAAGTACAGGAAGAATTCCTGAGTGAGCTGTGATGCAGAGGCTGTCTGTACAGATACATATGATGGTGAGACAAGTAAATTAAGGCAGAGCTCTTAGTGAGTTTCAGACCCCACCTCAAGCTCTGTTGCTTTCAAAAGAATCTGAACAAAAAACTTTATTTTAAAAATGACAAAGATACACTTATTCAATAAAGGTAACAATAAGCTGATAACACTACTCTATGCTATTAGACATTATAGCTCCAAACACTCACATATATTAATCATATTATGCTAACCACATCCTCCTGAAGGTGAAAGTACAGAATGCAGTAACTCTACCTCAAAGATGAAAAAATTCCATTTAGGAAAGCTTTGAGATTTAGCTGCCGTAGTGGGGGTGGAATTTGAATTCAGGCCTTTAAACTCTGGATTCATATAGTACTCCACACAGCATTTTTTCTTAATACCCTTAAAGCACATTGCTTTTATGATTTATATGAATTAGAATTATTTATAAAGTCATTGTGACAGATGGCCCAAATTAGTAACAAAATGAACTTAAGTATCTCTCTTGTCCCATACCTGTATTAAAAAACAAAAATAAGCACAAATAACACATGTAATGGTTCCCACTTTAAACATTATTTAAAAACTGACTACAAAATAGGACCTTTTGATTTGTATTACTATACATTTTTTTTTAATTTTAAAAAGGTTTTCTAAGTTATTTTTTATGTATATCAATACATGTGTACCTGAATAAGTTTGTGTGTACAATATATACATGTATGCCTACAGAGGCCACAGGATGTTGAACACGTAAAACTCAAGTTAAGTCAGTTGCAAGGTGCCTGATGTAGATACAGAGAATCAAAACCAGGTGCTCTAAAAGAGCAGTAAGTGTTCTTAATGACTGAGCCATCTCATTTGTGTTACTATTAACAAAATTTATATATGATCAAGGTATATGGGTAATTTTGACAAGAGTTATAAGGAAGTTAGAATTTAGGCAGATTTATATAATATAAAATTTCAACTATTACACACACACACACACGTACACATGCACACACACATACCCCATCACCACCACCTCCAACACCACCTCCAATGCCTATGCCACCTCCACCACCACCACCACCACCAACAACAACAACAACAACAAAACCAAAATAAATAAAAGAACCATCGGACTGAGCCCAGGAACTCCAATGAAAGAGCTAGGGGAAGGATCGAAGGTGCTGAAGGAGATTGCAACTCCATAAGAAGAACAATATCAACTAAATGGATGACACGGAGCTCCCAAGAACTAAACCACCAACCAAAGAGTATACGTGGAGAGAGCCAGGACTCCAGATACATATGTAGCAGAGGATGGCCTTATCTGACATCAATGGGAGGGGAGGGAGGTTTGATGCCTCAGCATAGGGGGATGCTAGAGGGGCAAGATGGGAGTGGGTGAATGGGTGGAGGAGCATCCTCACAGAGATGGGGGGAGGGGGAACAGGGAGATGGGGTTTGTGGAGAGGTAACTGGGAAGGGGGATACCATTTGAAATGTAAATGAATAAAATGATTAAAAAAAGAACCAGTGAGTAACACATGGTACATTGGTCTTTTCTACAGTGTTGAATCAGGCAAATTTTTCTATCACCAAGTAAAAACACAATTTAAGCACCAACAAGCATAGTTGTAGACTCAATGTCTCCATTACATTAGATTACTATTAAGAGAATCTAAATAATTTTAAACAGGAAGAAAGACTTACCCCTCCCCATTTTTTTCTTGTAGCTTCTAACAGGTCTTGAATGACGACTCTCTGTACAAAACAGAGCACATACACAATCAGATTCACAGAGGCTGAGTCACAACATCAGATAAGCCCCATTACAGCTGATGTAGTCAGTGTGAGCATTTCATTTCAATGCATTCTAATCTTGCTCCCTAACAAAACTGTGTTCTTGTCCACAGATAGCTAACCTCAGAGGACAGAAACAGTATTCTGGAAAGCACAAGCTGTCTATATCAACTAACTCTGATCTTCTTTATCTAGTAATAGTTTTTGCTCCTGCCAAATAAAACTCATCAATTTGGTCACATGCTTAACTTTTAGGAGGATAGTCATATTGACAAAAGATGACAGGCAAAAACACCAAAGACTCAATGTTAATAATCAGGCTGCCATGTTATTAGCTTTCCTGTCACTGCCTTCCCTACATTATCATTGTGACAAGTACAATACCCTTTACAGTATAACATTTTCCTGAATGGTGTTAAACAGCGGTTCCCCTAATCAAATCATCCTTGAGGCAAAGCAGCCCATAGTTATTTCCAATAAACATCATGAATCAAAGACCATTGATTCCTGACAATAACATAAGAGAATTGCAGAAAGCACACAAATTACAGTGGTAATGGAAGAAAGGTATACATAGCAGAACAGAAATTCTGTTTTATAGGTGAAAAAAGAATAAATATACAACAAATGTAGAAGCCAATGCATATGATTAATGCTTTAGTTTACTTGACATACAAACATACAAACTATAACCTATTATTTACCAGTCACTTGTCAAGCTCTCAGTGTGTAGCTTAGCAGTTAGACATAGGTGTGTGTGTGTGTGTGTGTGTGTTTAAAAAATATGATCTATTAGTCCATTAGGAACCTTACTTGAAGTTCAGTAGGGGAAATCAATAAATAAATGCTAGACTGAAACTTGACAACTAGTTTTATGGCATCAAATAAATCATTTTTTAAATTTCAAATTCTTTCCAAAAGGGAGGAATGTCCTACACATGGGTTTCTCAAATTATACACACACACACACACACACACACACACACACACACACACACACACACACATATATATATATATATAACACATATATGTCATTATATATTGTGTGTGACAATATATATTATTTATCATAATATATGTATTATGACATAATATTATATATACATACACACACACACACACACACACATATATATATATAGTCACACACACGCATGCATTTAAGTATACTCTGGATATCCTGTAGGGTATTAAAAACTATGTCATTCCAAAGCAAGGAAGGCTCCTTGATAAAATAAGTATCTGAAATAGTGACATAAACCTATACAAGTTTCCTTGTCAATGAACTTTACAGATACTTAAAAATGATAATGATGGGCTGGACAGATGGCTCAATGGTTAAGAGCAACTATTACTCTTACAAAGGACCTAGATTCAATACTCAGAACCCACATAGTCGGTCACAACCATCCTTAATTCTAGTTCCAGATCAGACTCCCTCTTCTGACTTCCACAGGCCCATGGAACACATACACAAACTCACACAAAATAAATAATATAAAATTTTAAAATTGAATAATGAGAAATGTAGCAAAAGTACAACTTATGTGGGTGGAATTTTATTATGAGCAACATTTTTTTTCAGGTTTAATTCTTTAAAGCATTTCTTATCATTTCATTTTCTTTTGAAATCAGTTGAGGTTCTTCAAAATAATCTTATAGAGGGAAGGGTCAGGACTTATAAGTTCATTACAAGAACAAGCAAATATAAAAGAGAAAATAATGAATGAATGAATGATTAATAGTTCAGAAGAAGGGGACTGAGAAAATGGGAGGTGAATGAGAGGGTAATGAAGGGTGATATAATCAAAGTGCATTATACATATCTATCAAATTGTCATAATAAGATCCACTATTATATATTAGTATATGCCCATTAAAAGTGTAACAAACTTTTATAAAAAACACAAGTTAATAAATAGGTTAACTCTTTAAGTTAAATTAGGGTAAGAACTATCGCCCCACTCACTGAAATATCTCCTTGAAGTCATCTGTACATGCTGTCATCAGAAACTGGGAGTTTGAAGCCCCAGTTGCCTCCTGACCTTTCAAGTAAAATTATTCTGGGAAGGCTTTAGGAAAAAAGCCAGTACAGTGAAGGGTAATCCATCCTTGTACAAATGATGACTTGAAAGATTTAAGCAGGATGGTGGTGGGGTAGCTCAAGTAGGATTTTAAGACGCAATCATTGGCAACTACTGGGAAAGAAAAATTAAGGGGTGGGGATAGTTTGACTGGTGACAATGATATTTCAAAGATGCTAAAGAAATCTGGCAGGACTTCTTGATTTCATTTTTTTTTATTCCTTGCTTTTTTCTTTATTATGTAATCAATTTCTTTAGAAATAAACAAGCCTATTTCTGTTGTTAGTGGGAACCACAAAGGAAAGAAATGACTATGAGACATAGCTAGGATTTTCCAGAGGTGAGCATAATAATAAGAGTCATCTGGAGAAGATGAAACCAAGGAAGCAAAAGTCAATACCTGCCTGTCAGCTACCTCATCTAGACATCTAGAGACAACCCTCAAAAACTCAGACTCTTGTTATATAAATAAAATGATTTCTTTAAACATACAGGCTTCATAGCCTACTATGCACATCACCTCAAGACAAGGTCTCTACTTCAGGTTATCTCTTGCTGCTGCTTCTGTTGCCAAGGTGTAACATGTTCCTATAACTCTTGTCTCCTTTCATTTGAGAGGTGGGGGGTTGGGGGGAACCTAAATGTTTATACTTCTCTAAATATGAGGACTACACAATCTTGTTTCTCAGATAGTTCTGTATCTTAAAACTAAATAGCAGACATACAGCCCAGTCTCCCCCAACAACTGGAACAGAGGCTCTCCCTAAAGCTTTAGCCTGACTGTGGTATCTGTACCCCAACAGGGCTGCCTTTTCTGGCCTTAGTGGGAGAGGATGTGCTAATCTGGTAGAGTTGTGATACACCAAGGTGGGGAAACATCCAAGTGGGAGCAACCATCTCAGAGGAGAAGGGGAAGTGGGTTGGGGGACAGTCTCAGTGAGGGAGGATGGGGGGGGACAGCACTTAGAATGTAAATAAATAAATAAATAGATAAATTTTTTAAAATATGTCTTGTTTAAAGCACTGGATAATTGTGAATCATTTAACTATTAATTTTCATTTAATTTTTAATTATTTAAACAATCATTAAAATGTGACATGTAAATATAAAAATAATATATAATTATGTATGATACTATGTCAATTGATTATACTTTTTGTTAACCACACAAAATACATTATTTTGTTCATATTAATATAACTGAGGGAAGACATTAGTCATAGGTAACATTTTTTCCATAGGAAATATTTTAACTGCCAAAATAATTCAGTATACACTGGAAACATTAATAGCTTTTTATAATAAAAAATTCTGTCTGGAAAAACTAAATAGTATTTCCTACATAATGCAATATATTAAAAAACAATTGACAAAGTTCCTTTTGGCCAAATACTAAGAGATATAAATAGGGCTGGGTGTGATGGCACACTTTTAATCCCAGCAAAGGAAGTCAGTCAGATCTCTGTGTCTTTAAGGCCAGCCTGGGTTACATAGTGAGTTTCAAGCCAGTCAGAGTCACATAGTGAAACCCCGTCTCAAATGAAATAAAATAAAATAAAAATAATCAGTCTTCCATGTATTTATCTAACCTAGCACTAAATAACCTCTATAACACTGCGGCTGATGACCCCTTAGGGGTCATATATCAGATATCTTGCACATCAGATATATACATTATAATTCCTAACAGTAGCAAAGTCATAGTTATAAAAAAGTAATGAAATAATTTTATGGCTGGACGTCATCACAACACGAGGAACTGTATTAAAAGGTTGCAACATTAGGAAAATTGAGACCCACTGCTCTCTCTATAACTAGATCCCGCCTTCCTGAAAGGTAATGTATCAACCAGAAGTGGTGGTGTATGCCTTTAATCCCAGCACTCTGGAAGCAGAGGCAGGTGGATCTCTGTGAGTTTGGGGCCAGTGTGGCTTACATAGCCAGAGATACATGTGACACTCTATCCCTCTATAATATAACCCTGTCAAAACAGCCTCCAGTCATCCCTTATGACTTATGCTTCGAACAGTTTTAACTCTATTTTATCTGAATTGTCTACTCTATAAAAATTCAATCATTCTTGAATATAAGTAGTGACACCTTCTCTCATTATTTAATCAAGATGTAATCATTTCTGTGAACTCATTGTATGAAGTTTTGTCCCTATTAGATACATACAAATACTTACTTTATCGTGCATATCAGACTAATTCGCACAAAGTAATATTTCTACTATATATGTATGGAGTTACCCACAGTGTAAAAGATTATTCCCAATGAAAGATGTAATGGACTATACAAACAGATTTAGAGTATGCTTGCTTAACAATTACGTTCAGGACACATAACATTTGCCTTAGTTTCCCTTAGTTTAGATTAGTGCCTACAAACACTAGTAAATCTATATGCCATATTAATCATGTTTAAGGGTTGGTAAGATTTTATTGACTATTAGATTTTTATATATGTATGGATGATTTGCCTATATGTGTCTGTGTATCACATGTACGTCTGGTGCCCAAGAAAACCAAAAGAAGGCATTAAATCCTCTAAAGCTGGCATTTCAGATGGTTTGGAACTAAAATTGGATCCTCTGCAAGAATGGAAATTGCCTTTAACTGCTGAGCCATCTACCCATTGCCCAATACTAAGTTTTTCAAAATCCATCTATCTGCACATAGCCAATGGTCTTTCAAATAGATTACATTTTTACCTCAGCTTTTATTCACTTTACACTTACGCTTTAAATTATTAAATTTCATTGCTTTGGTAGATTACTATAATTTAGAAATGAAAACTTGACAGAAATGTCATGTCCCACATAGTACTTTAGGTAAGCTTGTGTGTGTGTATATGTATCCAGATCAACCTTA